AAAATCAATTCAGGTGTTACGAAAGCACTTCGATAGACATCCGATCGGAAGAGAATTTTGGTGAGCTGCCGTAAAGAAAAAAATACCCCATGACGATGAAGCGACGTTTAATTGCAACGAGGAGATGCAAAGGGACGCCTAATGACAATGTGGAAATTTTAATATCATGTCCGTTTTCTTCTGTCGTACCTGCGTGAACGAATCCTCGCTTTATTTGTAAAACCAGTATCAGCAGTTAACACCAAATCGGGTCTGAGCTGAATTCAGGCCAGAGAGGCGAGCCGTGATCGCACGGTTCAATTGAACGAAGAAACATTTGGCACAGCGACGACTCCCCTGATTTACCGCGATTCTGATGATCCGACGAGAGAGAGAGAGAGAGAGAGAGAGAGAGAGAGAAAGAGAGAGAGAGAGAAGGAAATCCCACTGATAGGAAGAAATATAATTAATTAGCGTATTCTTTTTTTTTAACGTCGACGCGCACATGTAATCGTTGAAAAAATCGCAGACCCTCGAGCCTCCGAAGAATCTCAGCTCGTCAAAGCGGATTACATGAATAACGACGTTATATAATGTTTTGCCTAAATCCTCGCATGTTTGTTGTTTGAGGAGATGAAGTTATACAGTCCAAACAGCTGATCCTGTTTGACACTCGAGGCGTGCGATTCTTTGAAACTGCGCGTTTTCGCACACGAGGTTAGTAAACATGGATTCCGCTGAAGAAAAGATTGTTAATTCGTGGGGAACTCACACATCACGACAATCATCACGACTAATAATACATGAATTCACTTAATGACTCGGTTGTTTCTTCTCGCTGCGATCTATCGCGATGGCAAATTGTGCGTAAGCGTGTGTATACTACAATCCAAAGTAACAGCTTCCTTTCTCAATATCAAGAAATGGAAACTTACACGTGGCACACACATACACATACGCGCGCGCGCGCGCACTGTTTTTTCACGCGGCAGGCACATCGCGCTCAAGTTCGAGCGCTTCACAGAAGCCCGTACGTGACTTCATCTGTGTCGTGTTGAAGTCTCCGGAGCTTCGTTTTGCTGAACAGTTCTCTCCTCGGATGTTTAGAGTACAATTAGCCGTTTCAATAAAGCCGAGTGAAAATACTAGCTCGCGCGTTGTTGCACGGAGATGACTTAACCCATCAAATAGCGGTTCGGCATAAATTAGCTTCCCGAAGCCTTCGAAGCTTCGGCTCCGCTCGTCCGCGCTGCCGAATTAAAAGGCGCGTTTCGCCGATTAATTCGGCAGTCTTCCGATATTCGACGTTCAACAGCTCGCACTCGCGACAGCAAACGGTCCAGCAGAGCGAGCAGTCGTCTATCCGACAGCTCGACAACACGACGTTTGCAACTCCGGCGCTCCGGCGCCGATCGCGATCGGAATACTCACGTGGTTGATTTTCGGCGCGCCGGTTTGCCCGGCCGAGGTCCTCCGAGTCGAGACTTGCGTCGCTGCCGCGATGATCCTCCAGGGACTGCCACGATCCTGAGGACGTGATCCGCGCGATCCCGATGAATAACTCGCTCGCAGGTGACGGTCGATCGACCAAGTTCCCACAGCGACTCACGTTCCTGTTAATCCCGTGTGCCAATTCGCCGGTTTATTAGCCTGAAATCGTGCGCACCTTCGCGAACGGCGGCGTTTTGCGGTCTGCCTACGCGAACGTCCGTACAGTGTTTGCGTACGCGCCGGTTCGGCGTGCGTAACTGAATCGAGAAACTGACGCGGGAAAAATCAGAAGGAAATAAGGCTCGCTCGCGGGGCACGATGGTGGTAGGCGTAAGGAACGCGAATCGCCGGTCGATGTCGATGAAGCACCGTCCGGGCACCGTGTGTGTGGAGTGGCGGGTGAGTTCGTGCCTCCAGCGTGACGAATGCATGGTGCACCACGCTTCTTTCCCCCTTTCGCGGCTCACCTAAACGACGAGGACGTCCTCCGCGACGCGGATCACGGACGGCCGGTGTATGTCTTCGTGAATTCAGACCGGTCTCCTCTCCCCCTTCGTCGCTGTCGGGAGTGTATACACTCGGTTACAATTTCAATGTAGTTTGCGTGGCTTTTCCCTCCAGCGCGGTCCCTTCGAAACGCGCGGCCGACGCGCGTCGTTCGGCCGGAGAATTGATCTCTTGGAGATCGCTCGGGACTCCGGACACTCTGCCGTTATACGAGGTTTGATCAAAAAGTAACGAGAATTTTTAATTTTCTCGGAAAGTATTTATTTAATCTTCAATGTTTACCTCATCTCCTTCAAAGTACAGTGTAGTCCCCCTGTGATATTATATACTTATGCCAATGTAGTTTCCAGTTTGAGAAACACTGGTGGAACTCCTCGTTAGGTATCGTCTTGAGCTGGATCTGCAATTTCGCCTTTATCTCATCTATTGTTGAAAAACGTTGTCCTTTGAAGTGTCACAGGGGGCCATGTCTGGAGAATAAGGTGGTTTTGCGATGGTTACGCGATGCTGTTTCTCTTGAAAATTCAGCGGTTTCGGAACAAATTTTGCTGCCACTCGCTTCATGTTCAAAACATTAGTAAAAATCGCTTCGCATGAGCCGTATGAAATTCCTATTTCTTCAGCAACCTCTCTAATGGTGATTCTTCTATTAGCAAGCACAATCTCTTTAACTTTTTCCATGTTTTCATCACTGGTGGACGTGCTAGGACGCCCAGACCTCGCGTCATCTTCGATGTCTTCTCAGCCTTCCTGAAAGCGTTCGTACCATTCATAAACTCGTGGTTGTGACATAGTATCGTCGCCAAAGGCCTTCTTTAATATTTTGAACGCTTTGCTGCACTTAATTCCGTTTTTAACAGAAAATTTCAGACAAACTCTCTGATCCGACATTTCGCCACACAAAAAATTGCCAAACACACTGAAATACGTCTTGCTCATTCGCTCGCCAAACACAAACAAAGCGTCGCACCTGAAAATTAACATGTATGTCACTAGTAATGCTACCAACACATACAAAAAAAGAATCAACTGAATAGACAAGATACAGCGCGCGCAATTTCAAAATTCTCGTTACTTTTTGATCAAACCTCGTATCAAGCAAAAGATGGCCGAAGATGAAGATCATGCGATCTCCGGTATCTTGCTTGGTGAATTACGGCTAACTGCTCGGTGATTTTGGGAAGTTGGTGAGGTGGTGAAATTTGGAAGAAGATTCACGGAATGAAGGATACATTTTCATGGAAAATTCAGTGAGAGCGTTTGAGTGCCCTTTGACCTTCGAGATGAGTAAAATATTTTGCTTAATTCGTGTTTTCCTCACAACTTGGAACTTCGTAAGGCTGAGAATTTCCAAAAAATTTTAAGTTTCGCAAGGATAAAATGTGTGATGTTCATCGCATAGCTATTTTTCATTTTGGCCAAGAAAAGGATGAAAACACCAACGAATAAAATCCGATTTTCCGTGTTTTCGCTAATTTTTGCTAATATCTCCGCAGCCGTCGGCAATTCACGCGAAGAGCTTGAGAAAATATTTCTATTTTATCGATAAAGAATGCAAACATTTTTCAAAAATAACGAGTGACGGCAAAGTGAAGTTAAAAAAAAATTGCTTTTTGAATCGTTCGTCACAGCGTTGGAGATTGTTGATACACCGTGCCATTTTGTATTTGATATTTTTTTGCATTAGCGCGGAGAAACGAACGCGAATAGGGCCTATTGGTGTACGAAGTTATCGAAAACAATTAATTTCAGCGGAATTGCCAATAAATTGCCGTCTCACCGCAATTTTACCGTAAGTAATCGCCACTTTGAGACTGACGGTAATTTTACATCTCTAACCGCCGCGCAAAGATGCTTCTTTTATGCCACTTGCAAGACCGAAAGTTACCGCAAATTTCCGACCACTTGCATTTGCTTATAGATGCGGCTTCCTCGTAACTTCTGATTAGTCAAAGAGACGGTATTTCAAATCGACTGCGACACTTTGACAGCTTTGACGTGTCAGTTGAGTTAACAAAGGAGGTTAGCTGCTCACGTGTTACGGACAATTGGCTCACAAAACAGTTATATAATTCAATGATTATACAGATGTTGTCTACGGCAAAAAACCCTACTGTTTCCCGCGGCATGCATTTATATGTTAATTGTATTTAATTAATTCCTCAATGACTGCTGCAAAGTTTGCAAAATACTGCAGGACTTGAATAATGTTTATTTCGAACCTGCTACAAACGAGCATTCGTCGTTAATTGCACTCTGCAAAAACTTCTCCGTTTTTATTTCCGATTTGCTTCAACTTTTCTTTTTCGTTTATTTTTTCATTCCGCTGTTTGCTCAAGCTCGAAATAGCAGGAAAGTGCTGCTTTAGGGCGATGGGAGGAAGTTTAAAAATATACATCTGTTTTACAAGAGAGCGGATTATAACGTGGCTATAAGCGCGGCGGCGAGTATTTTTACTGTCGTTATGTAACTTACTTGCGTCAGAAAAGATACTTACAATAAAAAGAAAAAAAGAGAAAGAAAGAAGAGAGTGGAGGAATGCGATTTGTAAAACGACGTCGTGGACATCGAATAAAGCTTACCAACTTGGAAACTCCTCGTGCCGAGCTTTACTTTCTTTCCTAGAAGGAAAACAAAGCGCGCTGGCCGATTTACATAATTATTACGATTCTTGCGCGTTGGGCCAGTCGGCGATCTGAAAATTTCAATAATGCCGAGCATTATGGCATACATTTGTGCAATTTTCCATTGTGAAAACTCGGGCAACAATGATCAGTCGCAGCTGTAAGCAACGCTCGTACGAGCGACTGCGATTGCTTGAACTTCAGCGATCGCGCGTCCTTCATTTTTACGTACATCGGGAATATAAAAAGGAATATGAAGAATATACAGAGAGAAAACGATAAATATTTTATGATCAGCAAACGATACGCTAGAACAATGATCGAAAATGGTAGAGATGTGCGAATCAAGAATTTTTATGTCGAATCGAATCGAATCGAATCTCACTTTTTAAATTCAAGTTCGAATCGAATCTATGAAATTTCACTCGAATTCGACTCGAATCGAATGAAATCGAATCGAATCATTAAAAAATTTAGCATGACTATTAAACATGCGAATAATGATGGAAGATTTTAATACGAATGGGAATATTGATATTGTAATATCATCTTAAAGTAAAATATATATTTAAATATTTAAAGTAATTTATAATTAAGTTATTAATTATAAGTTAAGTTAATTACAAGTTAAGGATTCAAACATACAGGCCCATACGGCCCGTTTTGTAGCTGATGCACGCAAACGATAATATATTTGATTCCTATTCGAATTATTCGGATTCGAATCGAATTGAATTACATTAGATTCGATTCGATTCGATTCGAATTCGAATAGTTCGCACATCTCTACAAAATAGCGGTCCAAAGTGTCCCAGAAAATACCCAAAACGTCGTCGAAAAATCCTTATACCTGTGCCTCAGGTATTTTCGTTAATATCTGTTTCACACACATGCATACACACACACACACATACACACACACACACACACACACACTATTCAGAGGAAGGCGAAAGATTTCTACGATAAGTTTCTTAAAGTCCCCGGAGTTGCATGGAGACATAAATCTCGAGCAAAATGTCAGAGCTGAAACATTTTTTCAGTAACGATCAAAGAGATGCAATCAATTACAGTGGTTGGACCATCGCGTGCGTCGCATTTTACTTAAAAGCGCGAACTTTACTCGCCGCGTGATTGGGAAATCTCTTTAATCGCATGCTGCCACTCGCGAAGGATTATGGTTACTGCGCATTTTCGCATTCTCCTTGCCGGGCAACTCGATCTTAAGGAATTTCCCGCGAGAGGTGTAGGTCGCTTCGCTAAATGTCGTGTCGTAATTACTTTCAAGCGATACGTAAGCTGTAATCTAATATAATAGGGCGACGCAAAAAGCAGAATAGATAATGGGAGCGATATCGGTGAGTCACCGTCAGTTTTTTCCGCACATTCGCGGGCGATGACAGAATTTTAAAGTCTGCGAAACCATAGAATTCCCTCAGCGCCACTCGTCATCATGGCTGCTCGTTTCAGACGTCGACGTCGCCGTCGTTATCGCCGGTGGTTCGCACGTGGCAGAACCTGGTTGAGCGTTTGCGAAAAAAAGACGAGTTGAAAAGAAACAGGGCTTTATATCGAATTTAACTTTTTGCCTATATCGACATGGGTAATAAATGCCACGTGGAGTCGCAAAGTCGCGGAGTCACACGGTAACGAAAGCCACGACTCATAATTTCGTTCCTCTTTTTTTCTCCGCTTGATCTGCCTCTCACGTAGCCTTCCCAGTCCTCTCCTCCGAAGCGTTTTCGACTTCGTAGGATGTCTGCTCGCTGCTCTCGAATGGCTCTCTATGTAACATTAACGACCTTTCATCTTCCTCTCTCTCTCTCTCTCTCTCTCTCTCTCTCTCTCTTTCTTTCTTTTTTCAGCGTTGTTTTTCAATTTTTTCAGATTGATTGATCATGTAAGATTCCTATCAACCAAGTTTCATAGCCCAATTCCAGCCGATAAACACTGGAAACCGTGAGAAGTAAAGCAATATACAAAGCCGACAAATAAAACCGAAGGAGAACAACTTGCTTCCTAATGATGTTGAATTAACATCGGTATGATGCTACAGGAAGAGAACTTTGCATCTTGACATCATTGCGCACAAATAGATATTATTAAGCGGCTCTAAGCGGCAGTTTTACGTCTCCCCTTATTTTCATGCGGTCAGGAAACCGAACGTTAGCCGCGCGCGTAAGAGCGTAAGAGCGCGCTAATTATCGTGCGACAAGCTCCTCGCGTGTCTGTTCTTCCATCGCTTTCTCTCAGTCGCGAGCATACGAGTATATTTCGTCACCTGTATATCCATTTAATTTTACCGCACACCGCGCGCGCGCGCGCGCCGCGGCCGCGAGTGAGAAGCGATTTAACGCGCGGCGATCGTTTAATAAGCGCCGATCTAGACGCGGGCTTCGGCCTACGCGCGCAAACATTAGACGGAGAGCCCGTTTATAAGACGACGTCAAATGTCAAGCCGTGTAAAATTACGATGATTTATATGTATACCGTTGTAATGCCGTAATTGCAAATCGCACGTCGAGACGTCGCGGGGGTTTGGAAATGCACGCGCCGTTTTGTCTGCGCCCCGCGCTCCACGACGGACGAGTCATTCATCGATCGGTCACTCTGCGAGAGCGCGTCGCAGGAGCGACGCTGCGCTTCCTTTCGCAATCGCGCCTGTGTGACGCTAATCGCTCCTCCGCTGACGAAACGGTCGTCGCTCAATGATAAAGTCTGACTATGTTCTCCATCATCACCACCATCGTCATCACGGTGACTTGAGCACTCGAGTGACAAATTTCCCCTCTCGCGAGCTCCTGAGGCGAGCTTCAGAGGACCTTCGATCCTCGGCGTTCGAACGAAGGCGTTTCCTAAAGCGAAGCACGACCTGAGGAAGAAAAAGATTCTGGAGGAAGAGAGAGAAAGACGCTTTCCCCTCGAGCCTCCAAGATGACTCGCCGTTTTTCGGGTCTGCTTTCCTTTTTAACCTTTTAACGCCCGACTTTTTTATAAATGCTTTAAGAATAAAATTTGAGTTTTTTTTGTACTATAAGACTATAAGTAGTGATAACCAAAAAAAAATATCAGAATTTTATATTGGTTTTTTCATCGTTCGTTTCTTGTTTATTGGTAAAAATGACTTGGATCCTAAAAGCATGTACGAAATGAGCAAGCTATACAGAGAAAAATGAAGAGTAATCTATACGACATAACTCTGATAGTCAGCTTGACATTTTTCAGCTGAAACTTTACTATATTTGTGAGTGAAGTTTATCATTCAGAGTATCAAACTTACTATTTCAGAAGAATATCTTATAGATCACCATTTAGATAGTCAATCGTCCCTTCATTTTCCGCCACATAGAAAACTGTAGGTCGTCAGGTTTCACCAGGAAAATAGGTTGATTTCTTGATTTTCGTGTCCACCATATTGGACACGCAATTTTAAATTTCTGTATTCTTTTAATTTCACATTTTGCACCTGAAATAACTTCCAAATGTATAAAATTATAACAGATACCAATCTATTCATTTATAGCGCACTTCTAGATGTCAGTAACAATGCTAACTATGCCTACTTGGAAGTTGACAAAGCATGTTATCATTAAAACTGAGTTCAAAACAGACTAAACCGAATCTACATACAATTTATATGCCATATTTTAGAAGAAGAATTCACCTTTACAGTGATGCAAAAGAAACGAAAATATCTCCTTTTTTGACTAAGTTATGGATTTTCAAATGCGTTTCTGGTAACTATAGTTACCAGTAGACGTTAAAGGGGGTTAAGAAAGAGACCGCGTCCAGCATGATTTAAGGAGGCGGTTAATATTGAGAATTGCGATACTTCGCAATCGCCAACCATGAGTTCTCGTCAAATGTCCGCACCGCACGTTGCTCAATACTCGAAATTAAAGGACCTCTTGCGAATCGCGCGCGGCCTTTTGCGAAAGTCAGTTATTTGTTTTTGTGAAAGCGAGCGCCCTCCCCTCTCTCTCTCTCTCTCTCTCTCTCTCTCTCTCTCTCTCTCTTTCTCTTTCTCTCGGACTCCGTTATCCCATAACGCGCAGGTTATCCTTGATTTTCAGATATATCCCGAGACACGCAATCGCTCATGAGCACCCACGAGCCGACGCGTCCTTCAAGCGCACCTCTGCGCCCGCGGCCGACTACAATCAACTTCAGGGAACCCGCGTCTGTGCTCGCAGATACCCGAAGGTAACGTACCTTCGGCGCGCTTGCCGTCAGGTGCTGCCCTCTAGCAGGCGACGCGGCGCAACATGGATTCTAGCTCGCAGGCGCGTTTCCCGGTTCATCGTCTCTTCCCTATCCTAGCGTTGCCAGCCGAGGCCGAGACGCATTTCTCCCTCGTGTCTCGCCGATGTTGGAGCCCCGCTGTGCTTCCTCCTCCTTTCCCGCGCGTCCTTCGCAGCCCCGTCCCGACCTTCGGCCTGGCGAAAGCAGCGCGACGATACACGCGGTCGCATTCCACCGTGCTCTCTCTCTCTCTCTCTCTCTCTCTCTCGGCCGAGCGCAATTCCCGTTATCGAAGGAAACAGCCTGCCGTTTGTCCGGTCGTTGCTCAACCGCCTGCCTACCTGCTCTACCTCACGTCCCTCCTCCTATTCATCCGGCGGCCGAGTTTCTTCTCCTTCGGCCGAGCCTGTCCTCTCACGTCATCTCGTCTCCTCGTCCCTCGGCCGCGTTTTCCCCGGGTCTTATCTGGAGCAGCGGCCCTGAACGATAAGAGCGACAGTGTCAGGGTCAGTGTGCGAGTGGGGCAAACGGGAGAAACGCGGCGGCGTGAAGCGAAGAGAGTGCGGTGCGGTGCAGTGCGGGCGGAAAGAGGGTGGCACTCGTCTGTTGTGCGTCGTCCCATTGCCATCTGTCTCCAGCGAGGGTCTCGAGTTGTCGCTTGTGTTGTCGTCCCGGACGATCATGTCCCTCATCGTCGACTGCTTCCGCCGCCTGACGGACTCGCCGTGCAAAAACGAGGTATGCGAGATGCACGTGACGCACTTGACAGGTGTTGTCAAGCCGCGACGTGATAATGAGGCGTCCGCCTCACATCGGCGTCGGAGCGGTCCTCTTCAGAGGACTTCCCGGGAAACGATCTGTGTTGACAACTCGCCGCCGGAGCTCGTTTAATTATAGTCGTGATCGCCGCTCGTCCGTCGCGAGGCCCGACGTGTTTAAAGTCGCGTTAAGCGTCGAGCGATCGAGCGTGAAAGACGAGAGCGTTGCGAAAAGGTGCTTATGGAACATGCCCGGAGAAGCCAGCTCGCAGCTCGTCCGATGATATTGATGTAACGCGACGGGCAATTTGGATGTAGAAATTGCGTCGGAGCGTCCGCTCGTCATCAATTCGTAGCTGCGGTTGTCGATCGCCTGGCACGCTCGCCCACATTGTATAAATCGCGGCTGGACGCGCGTCTGCTCGCGTGTACACAAATGCATGTGATTGTAAGTTTCGCGCATCAGCCGACAAAGTACGCGCGATCATAATACATGCGCTCGCGCGAGGGCGGAGAGCGAGTGATTGCCGGCCGACAATCCGACAAGCCGGAGCAGCTTTATTATTCATGACATTTGCATTTTGACGTGACGTGACGTGTCGAGTGGCTCGCGACCGGTCGCCATTGAACGTAAAATGTAGGTCACTCGAAGAAATTGTGACGCGCGCGCCTTTGAAACCGCGTGGCCTTGAATGTGAGGTTGGGTGCAATTACGCGGTTGCTTGCTCTCTCGGGGTAACCCAATAATAATCGGGCGACGCGTCGCCTAGTGCGACTTATTGCGTCAGCGGCTATCAGCTCGCCGCTGGCGATAACTCCCGTCTCGGTTCTATCGACGGTGCTCTCTGACTTTGAAGAGATCCATCGCCCTCCTGCCGGCTCACTTCGATCTCATTTCGAACGCGGCCATTGTTTTGTCCGCCAAATTCGGGCCGCTGATGGCCAAGTTTGATCGCGCTTGCAATTAGTCGCGGAGTGCGAGAGTTAAATCCCCCTTCTCTCTCTCTCTCTCTCTCTCTCTCATCTCCTTTAAAATCAACGCAGAATCAAGTTCGCCATCTTTCTCAGCGCGCGCTCCTCCCGACGTATCGCGAGAAAGAACGAAGACGTCGCCAACGGCTTTCGGTGTACTTCGCGTCGCGTTAATTGCGCGCAATTAATTGCACGCGATGCACGAAAGTAGCGAGACACGCAGGAACGATATAAATACCCGAGACAGAGAGAACTCGCGACAATGGAGCTCGCGGCGTAATAGTCCTGAATGTGGCGTTAGCGAAGTTCGAAAGCGGCGAATGCCGCGAAAGGCGCATTTAAAGCGAATGAAATAACTAAATCGCGCGGCAGCTATTAGCTGAAAATCGACCAATCGACCAGCAATGCGCGCGTGTTTCCTGCTACTTTTACCTGCGATCTGCGACCTGCGACAATTACGCCAGCCTCGCGAGCGCGAAGTTCCGCTCGCGCGGCTCTCAGCTCTTAGCGCTTCTCTCTCACACGAGCGATTCCTTCCAGCTCAGAGGCTACAAAGTGACGGATGTAAGTCGCTCGCGAAAGTTCGGCATCGCCTGTCGGAGCCTACACGACCTCAAGCGAAAGGCCTGCACGAAGCTGAACGTGAGTACGCGCCGTTTAATATCAACGTCGTATTATCGCACGTTCGAACCCGACGACGATGCGTTCTCGTTCGCTCTTTCGCTCGCTCGCATCCGCACAGACACGCGCCAGCCGGGGCGGGAGCGTCGTATGAATAATGTAACGAATTTTCACGCGATGTAGCGAGCGTGTAACGCGACATAACGAAATTTGCCGTGTGAATGCCGCGCGTTAGCATTCATCGGCCATTTCGCGAATGAATGCGCCGTCATGCCGAGCCGCCGGCAGCTTCGTGCACTTTTGCACGGCGCTCGTCGCGTCCGACTAACGACGCTCCACTCCCCCTCTGGCCGATCGTTATATCAATTAGCGCAGCTGTTAAATGTAGATACACACACATGCCATCAGGAGAAAGGAGAACGGCAATGTGTGAGCGCGACACCCTCCGCGGCGCGGATTTCGCGGCTTCTACCTGCTTCAGAAGCCGCTGCTTAAGAAATTTTCATTTTAGTTACAAAGTTAGTAGGCCTTGAACTAACCGTAATACATTTCGTAATTGATCGGCTGATCAATCGCGTTATGGTAATACGTAATAAAAAATATGTCCATTTCTTTACTTAATATTACAAAATTAATAGCTAATGTCAAGTTTGTAAGCAGAAGTAGTACATGGCTGTGGATGCCCCAGCGTGATCAGCTGATCAATCGTAGAACGTTTCTAAGGGCGCATTCACACCTGGACAGGAAAGCAGAAAGCAGGAAGACAGCAGTCAAGAGAGTGATAGAGAGAAAAACTCTCGCATGAGAGAGACAGACTATCAGCGCGAGTTCTGATTAGCTGCTGCCTTCCTGCTTTCTGCTTTTCTGCCCAGGTGTGAATGTGCCCTAAGTTGGTTGTAAGAAGGATTCACACCTTGGCAGAAAAGCATCCAGTCAGAAGTTGTGCTGATAGTCTGTCTCTTTCTTTCTTGAGAGAGAGAGAGAGAAAGAGAGAGAGAGAGAGAGAGAGAGAGAGAAACTATCAGCACGACTTCTGACTAATTATAAGGTTAGTAGAACTTAAATTAACCTAGATATGTTCTGTAATTGATCGGCTGATCAATCGTCAAGGTAATAAGTAATAAAAAATATCTATCCATTTCTTTACCTGATATTACAAAATTAATGGTTAGAATCAAGTTTGAAAGAAGTAGTGCATGGTTGTGAATATCCGAACGTGATTAGCTAATAAATCGTAGAACGTTTCTAAGTTGGTTGTAAGGAAGATTTACACCTTGGCAGAAAAGCAGAAAGTAGAAAGGCAGCATCCAGTCAGAAGTGGCGCTGATAGTATGTCTTTCTCTTGAGAGAGAGAAAGAGAGAGAAAGAGAGAGAAAGAGAGAGAGAGAATATCAACTCAATTTCTGACTGGATGCTATCTTTCTGCTTTTCTGCCAAGGTGTGAATTCTCCCATAAGGAGGATTCACACCTGGGTAGAAAAGCAGAAATCACGTTAATAGTCTGTCTTTTTTTTTTGAGAGAGAGAGAGAGAGAGAGAGAGAGAGAGAGAGAGAGAGAAAAGAGAGACAGACTATCAGCGTGACTTCTGACTGGATACCGTTTTCCTGCTCTCCATTTTTCTGCCAAGATGTGAATCCTCCCTTGGGACTATACCAACCTTATAACTAAAACCAAAGTTTCCGAAACCAATTCCGGAACAGGCCTGGTGTTATTTACGGAGCAGCGCCTCATAACGAGCGAGAGAGAAAGCAGCGCGAGCTGCGTCGCCGCTCGATTTACGATCGCGCGATGTATTGCCGCATTCAAAAGCGAGAATGCCGGCCGATTTCTGCCTTCGACGCTGCCGGTCTCGCTCCTGCGAGACTTCGAACTTTGTTCGAAGGAGAGAAAAGAAAGAGGGAAAGGAGAGAGATATGGAGGGATAGGAGCGGTCGCGGAAAGCTGCCAGCCATTCTCACCGATCTTTATCAGCGCCGCGCCGCGCAACCGCCGATTACGCGTCTGCGTAAAGTAGCAGCGTGCGAACATGCAAATTAAGAGCCGCAGATCATTCCGATATAGCGTCGTCAAGATAGATTCCATTAATTAAGGCCATTCATAAATGCCATTAGAGTGCCTTATTATAATATCTCGTGCAGCGAATGATGCGGAAAAATATCGGAATAATTTGCAGAAATTATTCCCTCGGCTTCTTTTTATCAACACGCGCGGCGACGGCCGGAAGGGGAGAGGAGATAGGCAAAGGGGGACATACGTGTGTTTATACTTAATTGTCGTATCGAGACGCCGCCAGCGGCTTTATCAACGACTGGCCTTGGCGCGAGAGAGAGGCCTGGAAGCGCGCGCACGCGGTGGCAGCGTTTCGTCGGTAGGTAGGTTAATCCGGTTGCAGTGCGACCTTGGGATCAGCACGCGTTTGCCCGCAGCAGCGGCACCGGCTCTATCGAACCATCCGGGCCAGGCACAGGCAACATCTCAATGTCAAGGTCTCGGATCCACTCTCGGCGCGCTCTGGCTTACGAATTGGTCCGAGTATCTCCGTACAGCGCGGAGAGAGAGAGAGAGAGAGAGAGAGAGAGAGAGAGAGCGACGTGCAAAAGTCGCACATGGGCGTGGAGACGCGCGGAGGATGAAAGTCGCGACGACGTCTTCGGGTTCCGGCAGTCTTGCTGCCGGAAGCTCTCGCACGCGGCCCTCGAAAGCGAGAGGTCACGGCTAAGGGCTGTTTCTCGCGAATTCGCGGCTGACGATAAGATGAGCGCTTCGCTTCGCGACCGTGCCGTGCCGACGACATCGACTCTCTAGGTTTCTAATCTAATCTAAGTGGAACACAGAAAACTAATGATTCTCGCTAAAGATAGGCGGAAACGTTTGTTTTTACCGGACGGTTGTAACGCGATTGCCGTTACTTTAAAATAGCTCGTAAATTAAACAGTTATTGAGGTCGAACGGTTACTGACCAATTGCTGCTGTTAGGGCTGTTTGCACAATATCCTTAGCTTAACCGGCTGGTGATTTTTATTAAAATTCACAAATCGCGTCTATCTAACGACTGCCGTTCACTGGTCACTTCGAACGGAAACGCTTAATTATCGATTAAATGAAGCGGTCAAACTGGCTTTTTTAAGCCTTGAAAAGTTCATCAACCACACATATACACACACATTTGAATATGAGGGAAATTTGTTTAAAAACTAAAAATGATCATTGATAAAATTATACATTAATTAAAAGTGATTATTATATTAATTAAAAATGATTATTGTAAACTCGGCCTAAACAGTTGATCGGAATCTTAAGGGCTACCATGGGTAAGATTTCATCCCGCGCAATTTTTTATTTTTGATACACACATATTGGAATATGAGAAAATTAGTTTAAAAATTAAAAATGATTATTAATAAAATTATATATCAATTGAAATGATTATTATACTAATTAAAGATGGTTGTTGTAAACTCGGCCTAAACAGTTGATCGGAATCTTAAGGGCTACCAAGGGTGAAATTTCACCCTGTGCGATTTTTAATGTTATTAAAAAAATGTGACCACACTGACAACACTAATTTTACGCATATACACTGCTTAAAAGAATTATGGCATAGATAATTTGTTGCCGAAAATTGGCCAACTTTGACTGGCGATTACTTCGCGAAAAATTATTGTAGACTAATAACTTTTTTTTCAAAATGAAGCTTGAAGTCTCTACTTTAAGAATGTATCCGCATTTTTTGCATGCGATGCACCCCTACCCCTGTAACCCCTGACATCTGAGGGCATGTTTGGTATACTAAAAATTGCAAAGTTTGACGGAATGCACGGACGTGGACAATTTTTTTTCGAGGACGCCGTTTGTATCGTCATAAAGTTAAAATCTTCCTCTTCAATTTAAAAAAAAATGGAGTCGCTACAATTTTTTTTTCGCAAAGTTACAGTCCTTAAAAAATATTTATTTATGTTAATAGTTTTTATGTTATAGTATTTATGTTATTTATGTTATTTTTTATCTTCGGGCCAAGTACCGGCCGGCGGATTAAATGACTGGAAATCATAATGGAGCAATGACAAAAGTGTTTGTTGACATACGCACGCAAACACGCGCGCATGTTTTTCAGCTCTTGGCTCGTGTTTTGACCACCAGTCAATATTCCTAGCATCGGCAAACTCTCTCCGTATTCTCCACGGCTCCGTACGATATTTTTGAAAGGCTGTAACTTTGTGAAAAAAAATTGTGGCGACTCCATTTTTTTTCAAATTGAAGGGAAAAATTTGAACTTTATAACAATGCAAACGGCGTTCCCGAAAAAAAATTGTCCACGTCCGTGCATTCCGTCAAACTTTACAATTTTCAGTATACCAAACATGCCCTCAGATGTCAAGGGTTATAGGGGTAGGGATGCATCGCATACAAAAAATGGAGACACATTCTTAAAGTAGAAACTTCAAGCTTCATTAAAAAAAAAAATCATTAGTCTACAATAATTTTTCGCGAAGTAATCGTCAGTTAAAGTTGGCCAATTTTCGGCAATAAATTAATCTATGCCATAATTCTCTTGAGCAGTGTATATATTTATTGACGCTGTCGGTAGTGACAACATTATGATAAAACGAATCCATTCTCGCATGGACTCTACTACAAACGATAGCGAGAAAAGCTAGCTCGGGGTGACACCTGACGGTAGCTTTTAAGGGTTGAACGTCATTATTCTTGTGAAATATAATTTTATGAAAGAAAACAACCGTTTAGTTCGTCAACCGTCGTGTTTCAAATTTCATGACCGTCACTAACATTACTTCTCAATAGTGGTTGTTTAATAACGGATAACGAAATAACACGCATATCCCCGAGTCTCAGTCGGAATTTACGAGCGATCAGAGCTCTACGTTGCGCGCTGAACGTAGCGCGCCATGGTGGGTCAGTGGTGGTCATGAAGTGCGAAAGGAGGATTATTGTGTCGCTGTTTATTTACGAGAATTCGGAGCCTCGTGAAAACCCCGCCGGCCGGAGCAGTCGCGAACTGCGGAGGGCGGGTCGTAACTTTCTGCGACCTTCGGTGCTCCGAGGCTGCCGGGAGGAATTTCCACGATACCGCGCCGTAACGAGGAGAAGGTGATGTAAAAGTATGTAACACTTGCATACACTCGGCCTCGGAGGTATTATTTATAGGACCGAAAGAGAGCCGAAATAACATTATGACCTTGTAGCCGTTCCGATCTTGATAGTCACCTCTCGGAGCATCGATTTCCCTGAGCATCGATTTCCCTGAATGATGAGCGTTTCTTCTGCTAATTACGCTCGATACGCGCAATCGGCAGGCCAGAATTCGGAATTCATCGTCGGCAGCCACCCAGCGACTCGTCATCTCACCGGCTGGCCGTTCGCGTGAGAACTCACCGCGAATTTTCCCTCTCCCACGTGTGATTAGTTCACACACGCCACTTGTGATTCTACCTTGCGCGTTCGCACCTGATAAATTCACACGACAGACTAGAGCACTCCGCATGCAATCTTCCTTGCAGATCCCTAACGACCCGGCGGAAGTGAATGTTTTTCTCGTGGACGGCTCGCTGATCGACGAGGAATACTTCCATACGCTGGAACCGCAGTCCATGCTGATCCTGCAGAAGCCGGGAGAGAAGATGTTATCCGGTCAGTATGATGACGCAATGTAAATATGTTGTGCACGCGCACACACACACACACACGCACGCACGTACACACACATACACATATGCAATATCCTGAAGCTATTAGAAGTGTGATTTAGTTTTGAAGGTTTTGCAAAAAATGGTACTAGTATCAGTTTTGTCGAAGACATTCCACTCACAGTTATTATTTCTTAATGCTTTCATATTAATCCATGATATTTAGTCATTTACTGACAACAGACGCAATAAAAGTCGTGTTAAACCATTTTAAAAATGCAGCTTCCTAAAGAGCATTTTTGGCATGCTTTTGTTTTTGAATCAAAAGAAAACGGCGGCTGAGGATCATAGAATTCTGATAGAAGTTTGTAGTGATATTGCTCCATCAATTAAGATACGTGAATATTGGTTCAGACGATTCAAAAGTGGTGATTTCAATGTTAATGACAAAGATCACTCGGGACAAGCAAAAAAGCTTGAAAATACAGATTTACAAGCATTATTGGACGAAAATACAGCACAATCCATTTGACAACTTGCCAGAGCATTAAATGTTAATCGTACAACAGATACTAAACATTTACATGATATGGGAAAGACTCACAAAGAAGGAGAATGGGTCTCACATAAATTATCGAAAAAAAGCTATCGCGAACCGGTTGGACATTTGCATTTCGTTCATCGCCAGACAAAAGATGAATAGCTTTTTGTACCAAATCATTACTGGAGGATGAAAAATGGATCTATTTCGATAATCCCAAACAATAAAAATCGTGAGTTGATCCAGGCCAATCAGCAATATCCACTTCGAAGCGTAATATTTACGGGTCAAAGGTATTGCTGTGTATTTGGTAGGATCAAGAAGGTTGAACCAAAAACAATCACCAATTGCGAATAAACGACGCGAAGTCTTTTTTCACGACAATGCTCGACAATACTCATGTTGCATTATCAGTGAAGCAAATGTCATTATAGCTGGAATGGCAAGTCTTACAGCACCCCGCGTATTGTCCGAACATTGCTTCATCCGATTATCACTTGTTCCAGTCGATGCTCTAGAGAATATACACTTTTATAACTTGGAACAAGTGCGAAAATTTGTTGAAAATTGGATCTACTCCAAAGAAGAATCTTTTTATCGTCGCGGAATCCATCTCTTGCCAGAAAGATAGAAAAAAGTTGTAGAAAACGAAGTAGAAAAGGAAGGAAAATATTTTGATTAGGGTATTCGTTCATTATCTTGCTTAAGTAAATCAGTGTTTGAGGAAAAAATCCACAAAATAAAAAAAATCATACTTCTAATAATATATTTATAGACTAATTTATATCGATCTATATTTTTATCATCGTGGAATTCATCTCTTGCCAGAAAAATGGGAAAAAGTTGTCGAAAAGTAAGAAAAATATTTTGGTTAAGGTATTCGTGCGTTATCTTGTTTAAGTAAATCAGTTTTTGGGGGGAAAAAGACGCTCAAAATCACAAAAAAACCTTCAAAATTAAATTACACTCGTAATAGAACAAGTAACGTGGTTAGAGCGACGACGGGAACGAGATATCTCGCGTGCTCGCTTATTGGTCGCTTAACCCCGAATCTTTGAGACGAATCGTTTCAGCGTTCGCGTGTAACGTCGCGCATCACTCGCCGGCAATTTCTCCATTCTCAGCCGATCAATGGCGGCGGTCATTCGCGCAGTCATTCGCGCTTTCACTCGCCTCTTGCGCGCATTTGTCACTCGTTACCGCTGTAACTCCGAAAAGTACTTCCTCGACACATCGCTCGAGCAATTTTGTTCAACTTTAGCCGCGCTGCAATAACGAATATGCAGTGCGCGCGGGGATGACTTGGCCGGGCGCCAAAGTTAAATATTCCGACTGGTATGTCGGTATATCGCGAAGTTCGCGAACTTCCTGGCAACGCCTGGGGGAGAAAAATGGATCTCCGTCGCCCCCGATACGTGTGACGGCGACGCGCAGTTTTCCGCGCTTTTCTCTCTCTTCCCCCCTTCTCTCTCTCTCTCTCTCTCTCTCTCTCTCTCTCTCTCTCTCTCTCTCTCTCTCTCTCTCTCTCTCTCTCTCTCTGTCTTTCTTTCCCTCCCCTCTCATTCCTCAAGGACGAACGATTTCCCGCAGACGCAGACATCCTGTACGATGCGCTGAGACGCGTGAACATCGATTTCCTCGTCGCCGGCGACAGAGTGGCACAATTCCTGACGGAAAATCTCAAGGCGAAAGTCGCCGTGTTGAACAGCGTGTTGAACAAGGACGACTCCAAGACGGCGTTCAGCACGAGGGACGAGCACCCTGAGTGGTTCACAGGTTTGGAGACCAATTACACGACTAAGGTAAGTCGCTTGTTCATCGTTTGTCTCTTCTGGACTTCTGAACAGTCTGATATCCTGTGTCGTAACGCGCCGTTCTCTCAGACCGACGCGAGAATCTTTGAATGATCCGGCTGAACTTTCTGATTGTTGCCAGAGCAAGGTAAACGGCGCACTCTTGGCACGCAATTGGCCTCTTTAAGAATAGCAAAGATAGTAATTCTTTATTTATGGGAGCAATGTAAGATGAAAATGATAACAAATAGTTCTGTCGCGTGACGAAATGAAGAACCTCAAGTCTCGGTCTTTCGCTCGCAGGAAGCGTACATGCACCGCAGGTGTCAAGACAGGATACGGGGTTACCTCTACAAGACGATCGAGCAGATCAAATGCTCAGACGTGTATATGAACAATCACAAGGCGCGACAGCAGCTGCTGCACGCGATCGCCTTCTTCAAGGTCCAGCTGAAGGAGGATCATTATTTCGGTTACTACTTCGACCGGAGCAGAGCCAAGACTGAGTCTGACGGCGACGGTAGCGACGAGACCGACGCCAGTCTGTGTTACGAGCATTGTCCTTGCAAACTCGCCGGCATCGACAATGAGAGGTACCTCCAGTCGCCCGTCGATTCGGCCAAAATCGAAGATGAGACGGACGCGAGGCAGCTGAATCAGTCTGCGAAGAAAGGGACGAAGGACGAGCAACCGGAGAGTTGCCCGTATTGCGTTAAATCGCGAGGCAGGAACGAGCAGACGGCCATTTGCGACAACAAGGGTGAATTTCGGTGCGAAGGCCGCTGGAACATGGACGACTGCGCCTACGGCGATAGACACAAGATCAATCCGTACAGATCCAAGGAGGAATTCGTTCTGTTCTCCACGTGGAACTTGGATCACAAGTAAGGCAACGAGTGACGACAGTCTCGTTCCGGTCAACCTCGGTTCTCACGCTTTCAAAGTAGGAATGTCCGAATTTCGAATGGATTTTTTCTCAACAAAAACATTACTCTTGATCGATTATTACCAATTCAATGTTTACGTAAATCGACCTTCGATTCGTCATATATAAAAAAGTTGTATAGATTGCGTTTTGAAACACTGACAGTACCGCTAGTACCATGAAGCCGTTCCGAAAAATCGTCAGTAAATAGTCAGCAGCGCAGGAACGTAAAATAGAACGTATTTGTAGTTTCGTATAGTGATTAGCAGAATAGTATAATCTATCTGAGTACAAGGATTGAAAATAAATTTAGAATAACGGCCAACTTATCAGCGACTTGGTTACTTGGTACACAAAGTATAGCAAATTTTGTTGAAGGACATTTTCAAGGTTCATCATTAGACGATGAAAAAAATATTTCATATATTTCATAAGTTTTATTTTCATTTCCGTCAATTATCGTATATTTTACTGATGATATTTTCTACATTTCTTGTTTATATAAGTCTAACATAAGTTAACGGCCAAGCGCAATATGCATTACTGAACTTGCACTATCTCGAAATAATGTGTGGAACTAGCTGAAAAAATCAGCAATTCCTTAAAACCTGTTTTCATAAAAAGGCATTAAGTTTTACTATCTTGAAGTGACGCGAAAATGGTACTGTTCAGGAGGATTCAAATCTGGGCAGAAAAGCAGAAAGCAGAAAAGCAGCATCCAGTTAGAAGTCGCGCTGATGGTCTGTCTCTCTCTCTCTCTCTCTCTCTCTCTCTCTCAAGAGAAATCCTCCGTAAGGGCGCATTCACACCTGGGCAGAAAAGCAGAAAGCAAGAAGGCAGCAGCCAATTAGAACTCGCGCTGATAGTCTGCCTCTCTCTTGCGAGAGTTTTTCTCTCTGTCACTCTCTTGACTTCTGCTGTTCTGTTTTCTGCTTTTCTGCCCAGGTGTGAATGCGCCCTAACGATCTTTTCTATATCGGTTTTCGCAGAATCGATCTTTTCGGTTCGACATCTTTAGTGAATCGATCTTAGTTGGTTCGAATCAATTCAAGAATCAATTTTCATAGTAATGATCCAACGTCCCTAGTCCAGAGCCATGATCGGATAAAGTTACGATGTCATACTGATTTCTCACACATAGTACACACTTTTGTATGTCTTTCTCGATGAAACAATTATATTTCTAGAGTTAAAGGTGACAAAAGACGAAAGGTTTCACCTTTCGAGTTGGAAAGGTTAATTAACGCATTCGCGACTGTTCACGTGGCACTAAGCCCTTCGTACGTCAGCGACCGCAAGTGTGTTAATTAAGAAACAAAAAAGAAAAGAGAGAGAGAGAGAGAGAGAGAGAGAGAGAAATATTTATAAACATCTCTAAAAATATTCCCTCGCGCAGGCTCGTTTTCTCAATCTGGTATGCGCTGCTGATACGCGCGTACGCGGAAGGTAATCGGAAAATATATTTCCACTCGTTCTTCATGTGCGGCGCATTCCGCATTGAATTATACATCGCAGCGGAACGTTGCAGTGCGCGCGACAGTGACGAAGAGAGATCGCTTGAGCGAACGCGGGAGAAGCCGTTTAGGAGCTTACGCCGCCACGATAAATATGCATGGGACTTTAAATGTACGCCATTGTAATCGCTTTGCAATGTTTGCAGGATCGAAAGGTCAAGAACGCTCGTGCCCAAGTTACTGCAAATCTCGCTGCAGGACATAATCAACGAGCAGGACATCTACGACTGTTACGACAATCTGTTCACCGTGAAGAACTTGAAACTAGTCCACATCGTGTGCCACGATAAGGGCTTGCACAAATAAGCGGCGGGAAAAGCAACAGACAAGGGATGAAAGCGAGAGATGCCAAAGAGTAATCGTAAACGTGTATCGAGATACGTAATACGTAGAGCGACTCCTCATACACACACACACACACACACACAGAGATCTTTGCGAACAAGTAAAGTTTAAGCGCTGTTGATAGAGAATAGATCTAGCGATTATTAATGTTACAGTCGGGTGTACTTCCGTTGCGGCATACGAAACATTAAGCAATAATGTTAGCGGCGAGACTTTCGTCGAAGCTTCAACCGATACGCAACTTTACGTCGATCTCGCTCAAGGTAGAACGATCAGTTTCTCGAGGGCGAATAATTCTGGACACGCTAGTCGAGAGAGAAGAAGGAAAACTCGACATTTACATTCCGTTCATATTATTTCGCGCGACGCGAGAGGAATTGTCTAAGCAGAGAGAGAGAGAGAGAGAGAGAGAGAGAGTCGCAAGTCTGTGATTGCGCTCAGTCTGAAAGATCGCTCGACGAGCAATTCGATTTCGATTTTGGAAGAACATCCGAGGATGCACGCATATTTACGCGAGAGTTTCTGGCGTGGACGTCGCGCCGAATAATCGCTGATGATATCTCGATTGCGCAAGACTCTCCTCTTTTCAAATTCAACATCGTTTCTAGCCTGCTGAGAAGGAAACAAAAATACTCGAACGTTGTGTGGCTTCCAGGAAGCCGTTCGCGGAAACAGTTACGAATACAGGGTCGCATAAGTCGCACGCAATGGAAGAACCCTAATTTATCCTGGCGGCCGAAAGCCGTCGGAGAAAAGCCATTGTTTTCAGGTACGTCGTTAAACATTGAGTATGTTGGGTGACAGGTAAAAATTCCAACTAATCTGATCTGATCTGATCCGATGTAATCGGAGAGAGCTTCTCTTGACGATAGAAGGACGGATGTAAGATAGAATATCTTTCAGACATATTTTTATTCCGACTGCTCTCGATATACATACAAGAGAAAAAAACAAAGTTCTGATATATACACATATACATATATACAATACATATAAATACATATAAATATATATATATATATATATATATATATACATGTCTACCAGAGATTTAGAGCAAGATATGTATATATACGATATTATTCCTATATATATACAGGATGTTCCAAGTTTTCCGCGATTCCGCCCCACTGTATCGAGCGCCATATTAGTTGAAAATACTATTTTCCTCGTACACATGTGTCGGATTGGCGAGAGATTGTATCATTTCGGTCATCACACACATGTAAGTAAGAAAGGAAGCGCGGAAAGCTTGCAACGTCCTGTACGTACGTTACATATTGGGCGGCGTTTTAGGAACCTTCGCCATACACAAAATGGTGTTTCTTCCGACGCAAGAGAAATGATTCGACTAGAAAGGTGGCACGAAAGTACCCGATCGATATATCACTAATTTCACTTTTCTCGAATTGTTAGCTGCGTTTGTTCGTATCCAGTTTGACGACGATTATTCCTGTAATCACGTCCGCGCGACACGCCATTTTTACGGTTCTCACATATACACGCGAAACTGCGAGTTGAGCGTTAATCATCAACGTGAGTAATACAGAGACTGGTGTTTTAAGAATTTTACGTAACCCGATGTGAAGTGATTTTGTACTTTATACGATGCGTGCAAGACTCTTCTCTCTATCAAGAGCGAGATCATCGGAAAATAACTTTCCCTTCGTCGCGTAGACATGTTGTGTTCGTCGTCGTCGTCGTCGGTTAAGTGTGAGCTGTAATTCCACGTCTTGAAGCACCGTTCGTGCTTTCGTCGTTTAATCGAAGGATACCTCGTCTCTCGGTTGCGCCGCGGCGAGACTCGTTCCACCTCTCGCGACTGATCGCACACACGCGAGCCCGTGACCCGTGTTAATTATTTGATCTCATCGTTAATCGTTAGTTAGAGACTGTTAATTGGAGCTGATTGTTAATTAGAGATCAACGACGAGGCGTGCCATCCTCGCGAGAAAGAGAGAGAGAGAGAGAGAGAGGGAAAGTATTCACACAGTCGACGGAGAGATCGCGCGACTACATATTTTTGAACGAGCGAAACTGAATCGCGTTATGGATATGTTCGATAAACCTCCACACACACACACACACACACAGAAGTTGTGCCAAAGCGACCTGTATATATATTTTTTTATCACTTTTATTGAAAAGTAGAGCGCTGCTGTACGGCCGATTCGATATGAGTGGCTTGTTATTTTCAATAAGATTTCCATCAACCGGACCGCGCTCGGCGGCGGCCGGGCTTTTCATTCGTTACACGTTCGCGACACGTGCGCGTCAGCGAAAATCACGTTATTATCCGCGCAAGAGAAGCGTTATCACAGAGTTACCGCGTCGATGCGTGCGTGCGTGCGTGTGCGTGAGCGCGAGCGCGCCGGGGAATTACGCTCGATAAGAGGGCAAGACTCCGCGCGTGAACCTGATTTTCCTCCCCCTCCGTGGGAATATCTCACAGAAGACGGGTCGTTGACACACTTTTTACACACGTGTATAACAACGACTGATACGACTGTAATGATTTGCTCCTCTCAGAATTGTTAATATTAGATGCTAACTCGCAGCCGGCCGGAGCGGACGCGCTCGGGGTTGAAGATCCATCCGGAGAAAAGAAAAAGAGTCTCTCTTACACCAGCGACGGGCATCGATTTCCTTCCATTTCTCATTCCCGTCGTTTCCATTCTGCCGAGACGCGCGGAAGTGTTTGAACGTACGTTTTGTCATCGTGCACGCGCGTACGCACTGCGTCGTCGCCCCGGCGGACTGTAGAGCGCGTCACGTCCGTGTCTAATTTTCTAATGTTCGTCGGCAGGATGATGAAAGCGGGCTCTCGCCGGCCCCTTTTATCGCGCGCGCGTGTGACAAAGAGAAAAAGTATTTTTCCGGAGTAATCGGATCTGCGCGTCCATCCCGGCATCGGAGTCGCGCGCTGCGTCGCGCCGCTGTCGGCGTTGTACGTTTAAGAAGGTAACCACACAGAAGTGCGATACGTCTATTGTAGGGTTACGCGTGTAAGTATATAGTATTTTTCAATGTACAACAACTGTGTATAGAGAGCTCCACTTTAGAAAAATATATTTTAGGTACGGGACACACACGCGCGCGCGCGCGCGCCCGCGCGCCAGAGGTGTCTGTCTTATCTCCCTCCCTCCTGCCCCTCCTTCTCCCCTGCCCGCTCTCCAGGCACCGGCCCTGTTCCTGGAATAAGAATACTCACCCGCGAATTTTTATTTATTTATTCGTCCCCCGTCCATCTACGGGGGACCACAAATCTGTCGCGATCCAATTGCGATTGCGACAGATAATACGGCCATCGTGCAACTGCAGCGGCAAATTCGCCGTGTGTGAATACTTCATTGAAGCTCGCCCGTGCGCTTTAAATACGCCGCATCGGTGAATTATTCGGGGGCCCGATCTGTCCCTCCCTCTTTCTCTCTCTTTCTCTTTTCTCTCCGGCTAATTATATGTAACCGTTTCGGTCACCGGTGACAGACAGCCGCGAGTCATTTCAGCGCGAAAATGCTTGCGGAAAAGCGCCGTCGCAGATCCCCTCGGGCTAAAACCGAGGAATCAGCCGTCGGCCGATTGTATTCTCGGCTGTTGAACGCACGCGATTCATTTCGAGTGGTCTCCTTTCTGTCGACTTTCGTCCGAGTGCATTCGCGCTTTTATTCGCGCCGCGGGACGTTTGTACGCCGTACGGCATACGCGGAAATAAAAGCACGGAGATTTTATCTGTCATCTCGCGACTCGCGGCATCGCGCGTAGAATATGATACGTCGCCGTTCTGCGTCGGAGCGGCGTCGTAAAAAGTTTATGGATGCGTCATGCGTTACGCTGCCAAGCGCGCCATCGCATCGCGCTGCGAGTTAAGCGTTATTTTTTAGCCCGAGAAACGCGCGCGCTATATCGAAATCACGCGAGAGCGGCCGGTCACGGATCGCCGCGAGGCAGATCGATATATCGCGTCGGAAGGCGCGAATTTCCCTGAGAAAATCTGACACCAATTAGACGCTCGTCGACGTCTCCGCGTCGGCGCGATAATTCGTTATTAAATTCGCACTGGACTCAATTATACCGCGCGACACTATCCGATATGAATAATAAACAAAATGGAGGAACCAGGGGAGAGAGACTGAAAATCGATGGTGGAGCGCCATCGTCGTATCCTCCTACGTTCGCAAGGCGAATGTTTTTATCAGACGTTTTAATTTCGGCGCTGCGCGCTCTCTCGTACCTAACAATAAGCGAGCCGCACGAATAATAATTCTATCGCGGACTCAATGCCCGAATGAATTTTTAATTTTTGCCCGTAGCCCTCTGCCCCCTGCCCTGCGCACTCGCCCCGTCGGCCATCTGCCCCTTCAATTCGTATATATATTATAGCTGAGATTATTTTCATTATTTTCCGTCCTACGGCGAACGGCGGCGCGGCGTGAGTCGCCGGTAGTCAAAGCCGGCTGAAAAAATACAACGGCAGAGAGAAAGAAGTGACCGGGGGGAGGGGGGGGAGGCAGGGGGGGAAATGAAGGGCGCGGACACTTTGTTTAATTTACTCGAGATTAATTATTTTTCTTGCCGCCCGTTAATAATTAATCGGACTCTTTGTCCGGCTGACAGCGGGCGATTTGCTTCCGCGCTATTTCGCAAGAAAAACCAACTCGTTCCTGACAACACGGGCTTATTTCAAACGCGGCGGCCGGGGCTCGAATGGTGATTTTTAATTGAATTTCGCCCGCGTATCAGTTCGCGCGCATGCACGCATGTGTGCGTTCGCTCTTCCTCTCTCTCTCTCTCTCTCTATTATCGCGTGTCCGCACGTAATATATGCATGTCTCGGACAAATAAAATTCTTACATTTCATTAATTAAACCGATCATTCAAATTAACTCGATCAATTCGCGGATATATTATCGCGAAAACTAACTGACGCTATCTGACGAACCGGCAAATTCCGCCCGGCAAAGGACAAAAAGCGGCACGAGAGCAATAATAAATGATGCGAATAATAAATGGATCCTCAATTAATCGATCGGGTCGAATGAACACCGTCAACGCGAAGTAGATGGAGAGTAGAATTGATAGAGAGAGAGAGAGAGAGAGGGGGGAGAAGGGGAGGGCGAGAGAGGTCTCGGCTCTTTCGGTCGGACAGCATGGAGGGGGACTGTTGTCGTGTCATTCGTCGGAAATAGCGATATTCTCGCAACAAGCTCGAAGAAAAGGCGCCGCCGAAATGGCACAGCTGCCGGATTTATTTGTAATCGAGACCACCCAAGCCCTCGGCGCGGATAACGAGAATAAATTTTCATTTCACGTGTCGGTGAGTTTTCGCGGATGAACGGGCCTCCATGGGTAAAGCCCCGGGGTGCAAATTACCCCGCAATATGTTGCCGATTGTGTGAGCAAAGTCGAAAATCGATACGTCAGGGTAAGGAGGAGGATTGCTGGAAGTGCCGCGTATCGCCCTTAAAAGTACGGATTTAGTCTCGGCTCCCCGCTTGGTGGCACCCCGTCGACGGGAGCGTGCGTGGAAAGGCAACGACATATA